CCTCCTCCACCCCCAAGACCACCACCGCCACCTAAGCCATGGCCACCACCTAGCCCACCACCCGCACCTCCACCACCCCCGAGACCACCACCGCCACCTAAACCGCCACCACCTCCAAGACCACCACCACCACCTACACCTCCACCTAACCCACCTCCAGCCCCACCGCCAATGCCACCACCAGCACCTCCACCTAAACCACCACCACCACCAAATCCCCCACCTGCACCACCACCAAGACCACCCGCACCACCTAGTCCACCACCTCCACCAATGCCGCCTCCTATACCATGCCCTAGACCTCCTCCCTTGAAGAGAATGGGATGAGGTAACAAATGCTTGTCGTCGTCATCAACCCCACCACCCTCATTAGCAACTACAGAACCATGCACAAGAACAACGAAAAACAAAGCAACCACAACGACATTCATTTTCTTAAATCTTCAAAAGAAAGGAAAAAAAAAAAAAAGAAAGGCCAAGACTTTAGAGAGAATCAAAGCTCACATATATTGTAGTAGTGGTGTTTACAACAAGAGACTTCAATCCTATATATATAATGGAAAAGCTCATGGCATCCTTTTGGCGTAGTAGAATGGAAATACACAGTAAACTTAGCCAACTGTCATGCAGCCAAGAGTAAATGAGTTTCATCTGCCATTGGACAAGAAATTTATGCCTCCAACCATCCTCATCCAAAAGCTATAGTAGCATTGGCTTTGGGTCTTGAGTTTTGACTTTGTTATTTCCATTTTCATCAAGTAATTATGGTCCATTGGGTCAGGCTTTCTGGCTTTGGGTTGAAAAATTTTAAACTAGCTCGAAACCATGTACATAAATCCATAACGTGTGATCTCAATTATTGGGGTTTTCTTACGCCATTATGGAGCAACCGGAAACTTCTCCTGCCAGTAATAAAGCCTGTGTCTTTTTTGGATGAAGTCATGAATTAACATGCATGCCGTATGCACGTGTTTTTTATCTCTTTTTTTTTTCTTTCTTTTTCCTACTCATTTCATCCTTTGTGTTATTATGCAACCGGCATACTTCAACTAACTTATATTGAAATTACCACACGCAAAAAAAAAAAAAAACCCATGGTTTGTTTTTGGCAATTTTTCTTAAATTTATAAAAAAAAGGAGAAAATTTAAAGAAAATTTTTTAATAAAAATTGAAAATTAAACTCAAGAAATATAAAAAAGTATTACACAATTTAAACTCTATAAAATTATAGATGACTTAGTCTTATGATATTAGAAGTTATCCCTCTCTAATATTAATGAATCCTCACTTGAAAATCAGCACAAAACCCTTGTTTTTAGTCACAGAATAAATCAGTATCTAAAATTCATTGTTTGTCACAAATATGAATCATAGAATTACTACCTTATTTGTAAAGATTTAATCTTTCACAATTAAAATTATTTGTGTGTCAATGCAAATTTATCTGTGATGGAATTTTTAAGTTATTAATAATTTTATTTTGATTAAAAAATAATAATTATAATAATTACTAACTAAAATGTTAAAGGCCAATTAAGAAAATTATTTGAACCGGACTTTAAAATGTCTAAAATATATTTTAGGCTTTTTTAAATATAAATTGCTAATAAATTATACTTTTTGTTTTTAAGTGATGTGGGATTAGACATTTCCTTATATACAATGCTAATAAACTCTATTGTTATTTTTGGGCAATGTGGGATTTTTTCATTCCACAATTTTACTCATGCAACAATATGAAGGAATAAAAGATCCATCAAGTAAAAAAGAAAAAGAAAAAGAAAGAACTTATCAAATTAACTGTAAACATTGATTTTTAGTTACGTTCAAGTAAAAGTTAAATATCAATTAAAAAAATAATATGTTGTATGCTTGTATCTAAGTTATAGTCAATAAATTAAATATAATTTCACTTATGAAGCTGCTTATATAAGTATAATATAAAGGAATGGTGTCCCTGCATGTGATTACGTGCATGGATGGTATTCTTGGTGCAAGTGTGTTACTTGCTTGTATTCTGAGTTATGTACTTAAGTGAAGTAACTTTTATAAAGTTAGTAATTTTATGTGCAAGGATAAGAGTATCCTTTATGCTCTAATAACAGAATTTATTGTTAAAAAAATCTATAAAAATGTATAAAACTTTTAGGTTTAGTGTAAGGAATGATTAAATATTTCATGAATAAATAATAATTAGGGTATTTGAGAGAATTAGAAGTTTTGATTCACCATGATCTTTGTGGTATTGGAGGAATGAAAAATTATTTGAGAATGAAGATGTAGAAGTAGGAGGAGACTTTTTTTGAATTAATTTACATTTTGAGTTGATGTGTTTAATAAATTAGTTTTCGAAAAAAACAAAAATAATGTAATTATCATACTACATTGTAATTTAACTCAAAATAATTTATCATTATTATATAATATTAATTTATTTATAATATTAGATATTTATTTAATAAATTATTATAATATAAATTAACAATTCTATTTGAAATTATAATTATAATATTATGAAAAAAAAATACAAACAAGTTAAAAATTTATTTAAAAAGTTAAATATGAACGGTTTAGTACTATTATTAAATTTGATTTAATAATTTAATTAATTGAAAAGCCATCTCAACCTCAACAGCTGCCAACTCAGCTTTACCGAACCTTCGATTTCGCTCTCCACTCCCAACCTTTCTTCTCCGGTTGATCGCCGTCAATCAGATTTTTCGTCTTCAATCTCCAAGCTTCAGGTAAATTTCTATTCAGTTCGAAATTGAGGATCTGTTCACTACGTTTTCAGTTTACTCGTTGAACAGTTCCAGGGTTTCTGATTGACTATATCTATTCAGTTCCTAACAGGCCAAATTAAGCTCATCCGACTTCTTGATATCGTTGAGGCTTGAAAAATGAACGAGATTAGGTCGATCAATTCATTTTGGGATTTCAGACAGGGATTGCTTAATGCTCTTTCAGGAAAAGTTGGAAAAAGGATGGGTATGCTATGGCTTCCTCTGGAGTCGTCGTACTGCATTTCAAGCACGGAATGTTTTACAAGGAAGCATACATACAATGGCTAAAAGGGTAGATGTCAAAGGTCTTCTCTTTTGTGTACTTTCAACTTTGCTCTGTGAACTTTCTTTTTTTGGTGAAACTGAAAATTGGGTTGTGATTTGTAACATTAATTAATCGTTTGTCATTGCAGTTCAAGTTTAGATATGCCCGTAGAGGGGATAATCAATCATTCTGCTCGTGGGTTTGGAGGTTCTTTTAGCAAAGAATGAGGAATCTGAGGTATGCATGCTGTTTATTATAAGCCTCACATTACATTGGACTGTAAATCTGCAATAAGTCAGTTTTTTCTCTTCTTTGATATCTAGACGAATTTTCCATCCGCTATTTGGATTTTGAATGTTCTCATTGTTCAATATAAGTAATCAGGCATCACATTGCATAAACTATAATGGGACAGTGGGTATCTTCTTTGATCTTTAAATGAATTGTGCATTGATTGTTCTGATTTCAAGTGTTTTAATTTTTGTTATCGAATGCATGTACACTCTCAATGCTAGGGATGGGAAGCATGATAATAATTCCAATTTGTTACTCCTCAAATACAACCTTTGAATTTCCTTCTTGGGTTTGTAAGCTAGAACCAGAGTTTGGTTATTGGTTAAGGAGAAACTTCACTATTTTAGGAGTCCCTTTGCGTCTTTGATTGATCTTCCCCCGTTTGTTACGTCTGGCTGTTTATAGAAATTTCCACCTTTTCTATAAAGGTCATTTCTCATTATTCTTTACCAAGTGTAATAATGTTAGTTCAAATTTGTTGAACTCTTTTTCATGATTATGAAATGGTGTGTAATTCCTACTTCTTTAGCACCTATAGGAAAAGACCTTTTCCACCACAATCAAATACATGCCTTATGGTGAATAAACTCTCATTCCATCTTGTTGACTCTTTCAGTTCCATTTGACATCCTTAACTTAAGTGTTGGAGAAATTAGAAAATGAACTGCATTTGAAAGACAGTCCTGAATCTGGGTTTTGATAACTGAAACATTATTGTGGGCTTATCTATCTTGATACTATCTCAATGAAGATACTAAAAAAGTTTTGTCTCAATGTTGGGAGTATTTCTCCACGATCTTTCTTTCTTTCCTGGTTGGATAACACTTCTGATCTTTAATTTTTATTGTTGTCTAAGCTCATGGTATTCTCTAGATGTCTAAGTTTAATCAACATTCTGAATGCTTTGCTAATTTCATTTTCATACCTTTCTGTGTAATTGCAGAATTTACTTATAATGGTCTTAATGATTCTAGATTAGATTATAGCTTTTCGTCATTTGAGCTAGCTTGCGTCCCATTTTTTAACAATCTTTTTCTCTTCCCTATAGTGGAGTTTAATTCAGTAAAGCTAAATGAATGCAGTAACTACAGCAGAGAATGCTCTGAGGGAGAATGCTTTGAGGTCACTTGAATTCTTAGGCATGGACCACAATTAGTGGAATAGCTTGGGACTTGGAAGGCACCGTAAGTCATGTTTTACATCTAAATAGATTGCCACATCCTTTTTTCCTCAATATAGCATCAAAATTCAAAAAAGAGAGCTATTGGGTTTGTTGTGGGCATATATATTTTTTTATGGGAACGTCTGGGTTACTTATAATGGTTATCTTAATTAGATCTAGCTTTGCAATTGATATGTACCAGAGGCATAATTGGATTTTCTAATGCACATGACTTTTAAGTACTTATAGATAAAGAAAAAAAACAAAAAAATAAATACATTTAAAAAAAAATCCCCAATTAAATTTGCAATTACTATCCTATGAATAAAAAAACAAACCTTTTTATTTATTAATAAGAGAAAAATTCTGTCAAAAACTCTAAAGTCTTGTAGAAAAATCTAATAAAATAAAAATTTTAACTTGATATGAGTAAGAACTTATACAACTTATGCAATAATTCAAAAATATTAAATAAATATATCAGAAATATCTAGAGTGAGTGTAATACATAAAACACTAAATTCTACTGGGTTTTAGTTTAATTTTCTTATAGTGTTCTTTTTTTCTTTTCTTTTCTTTTCTTTTTTTAATTTCTAGAACCAAATAGTGCAATTTGGTCTTAAACCTAATATATCATTAAAAATATCAAATAAAGGAATGTAATGAAAAGAAAGACTAAATACTCTTGAATATGTATATGAGCTTTGACTTTGAGAAAAATGGAGATAGATTCAAAATTTATGAGAGTAAAAAGTAGATTTTTCTATTTTAGCAAAAAAATCTAGGTCCGTTCCCTTATTTTTGGTAAACAAGTAATGATATAATGTGACACATCCCATGTTTTCATTTAAATTTAAATAATAAGAACGCCGTTAATGACTTAATGTTAACACAAGCTGGTATTTCATTACTCATATGTTTGTATTTAAATTCATATAAGGTAAGTAAGAATTCCGTTATAACGACGTTATGTTCCACTTTGTGTATCTTTGTATATAGTCATGATTTGGTATATACAGCCAAGAAATTTACTCGTCCCATTTCGTCTTTCCTTTTTCTGTCCATCCTAGTTCAAATTCTCCGTCTCCCCACTGGCTATAAATTGCACCTCTTGTCGATCTGTTCACTTATCCCATTTCCTCTAACAAAAGCTTTGTGCATAACAAACTTTTGTGAAGTTTTTGTCTTTATTCCCATTCTTTAACTTTCAATACCATGCAACCCTCATCTTTGGATGAGAAGAAAAATCTCCAAATGTCTCAGACATCAACATTAGCCTCACCTGTTCCCACTGTCGTGGAACAAAATGAAGGTGGTGATGATGTTTCAAAAACAACACAAGCATCATCAAGAAAGAAGAAATCTACTGGTAGGCCTTATGTGCATGCTTGTTATTCTATTTAGTCTTCAAACACATCTCTCTCTCTTTGTTTTTTTGAGCTAAACTAATGATGATTATTATTTTGCCGTAGGGGTTTGACTTATGGTCAATAATTATTATTTCAAATAATTTGACATATATATGATTTGTTCAAAATGTCAAAAGGGTCAGGCTGCTTGTGATTTGATATGGTCTGGCCTTTTTTGGGTCCAGTCCAGCACAACGTAGTGCTAGAGTGAGTCATCCCTAGCCTGATCTGGTATACCAAGTTGTACCTGATTGAGTGTCTATGATCTTTTGATCTCACCCAACACAATCGGTGATCCAATCCACAGAATATGTACAGGACAATCCACAGGTTGACCCAACCCATTTTACTTGGGTAATGGTTGTATTAAAGGGCTGATTTAATTTCTAGGTGAGAGTTGTGAGAAAGCCTGCAACTCAGGCCAGTCTATGCAGGCTTGATCAGCCTGAGATGGTCCCTTAGCCTAATCCATTTACCATTTTATTGTATTGGGCTTTAGATTTCTGAATTCAGCTGAGATGGCAACTTTGCTTTCTTTCCAAACAAACAAACCGCTATTAGAGAAAGAAAATCCCACCGAAGAAAATCCACAATTCCAGAAAAGAAATAGCTCCAGCCAGCACAGTCTACAGTTTTGCTTGGGCTGTCTGTTGCATAGCTGTTTTATTTTTACACAAATGGTCCACTGTTTTTATTTTATAGACCACAGAATTCTATCACAATCCTAAAAAGGTTAAAATATCTCAGAATTTTATGATTCTGAGCTAAGATCCTGTAATGCTTATCCTGTCACTTGGATTTACTTTCCAATTTTGCAGATTTTATTGCCAATGCTGCATACTTTCCTTGGAAATATAGGGTTCATTTGCATCATAAATATGAGTCCTTCTATTGTTGTTCAACAAGTGAGCAAACAAATAATTAAGTTTGATTCTACAGGTATTCGAGAGCTCAATCAACTTCTAAAGTCAAATATGGGCCGTGGCAATTCTCAAGCTGCTGATTTGGACTTCACCCAAAGGTGTGGTTCCCTCCATTTGAAGACTCAATGAGTTTACTTTTATGCTTTTTGATGTTTTTAACCATTTATGATTATCTCCTTTTGAGCTTGAATGACAAAGGATTTATTTATTTATTTTTTAAAATGTTACTTGAAGTGAACACCTGGTGTTTCTGGAATTTGAAATGTTACATTGTGGTTAGAAAAAACCCCAATTAAGCCTCTCAACTTTTTAATTATCGGCAATTGAGACCTTATAATATTTTTTGTTGCAAATAAGGACCTTAACTTTTCAAGTCACGAATTCAGCCCAATGTGGACAAAAAGGGTTACTTATGGCATGAGAACGTTTGCCTTAGGCTGACGTAGGGGGTTTAGTTCGATGTGGGCCATATGGCATGCTATTAATGAAGAAAATGAGAGGAGAAATCTTGGCTGGGTGTCCGCTCTAGGCTACTCTCCCAGTTTCTTCATCATTACCATGCCATGTTAGGAAAAAAGAGTCCCACTTCAGCATAAGGCAAACAAGTTTTGGGCTGATTTCTAGAACTTTAGAAGTAGAGGAGATTATTTGCCATAAAAAGGAAAACTATTATTACCTGTAGCAATGAAGTTGACAGACTTGGACTTTTGCTTTTAGTTTAGTTAGGGCAGACATATGTTGTGATGGGCAATGCATGTCTGAGAATCTAATAATCAGATAATGATATGATTATTTGCCATAAAAAGGAAGACTATTAAGAACTCAATTACCTGTAGCAATAAAGTCAATGGACTTGGATTTTTTCTTTTAGTTTAGTTAGGGCAGATATATGTCTGGAATCTAATAATCAGATAATGATATGCGAAAAGTGGTAAATGCAAAATGGGATTGTTACTTACTCTTTGATGGCACAATAATGAAGCTGATTAGGAATTGTATTCATATGTTTATTTATACTAGTCATGCATTTTGACATGATAGATTATAGAATGTACCTATTGTGTAACTTCATCTGAATATCTTTTTTTTTTCTTCTTC